CCGATACATGACAGGATACCACAGAACAGTGCTACGCCCTCTGCTGTCCTGCCGGGGAATTGCTTTGCAACACTCTCCAGGAGACGGAGAAGTACGAGAGCAAAACGCTTCCGTCAATCCGTGCGTGTCTGTCCCTTGCGGAGCTGATGGAGAAGCATAAACCAGGCTTCACAAATCAGCTTCAGTGTAAAGTCAAACGCTGTTCATCACATCAGGGTATTAATGGTGCGGGGTGAATTCTGAGAAAGATGGCAACTTGACCAACAGTGTTGGGTAAGTTACTTCAAAACTGTAATGTATTATTTATTACTTGTTACTATGGCATCAGAGGCGTGCCACAACCCGTGCACGCGGATTGGGTCCACATCGCGTGTGTGAACGGGACTCGCGAGTGAAAATATACATGGCGAGAGGTCATTTGTGCACTGAGATGGAGCAAACTGTGTCTGTGAGCGCACAAGGACGTGCACAAGTGACAAACCTGCGTGCGCGCGTTGCCAACGAGCACACGGCAGAGGAAAACGTGCGCGTGCGGCAGCCCCTCTGCGCGCTCGGCAGCCTCTCTGCGTGCTCGGTTTCTGACTCTGCTCGCTCGGCTGTGAAGGGGTTTTGGCACTCTGGAGGCGTGGCCTGTGGCAGATCTTCTCTGTCCTCTGATTGGTTAGTTTACCCTGCACTTTACCCTCTACCTATCTATATTAAAAAAATCTGATATTCAGTAGTTGCTGTCATAGCTCAGCTGGGAGAGCGGGTGACTCTCCCCCCGGAGGATCCAGATTTGAGTCCGGGCAAGGAACATAGAGTAGATGTCATGTTAATTTTTCCTAATTCCTGTGATATTATTTTACAGTTGTGACCGTTCAACTGTCATTAAACATCCGAATGTTTGCTGGGCAGTGTTTTAAAAAGTGCACATAAGCTAGATGGTTTTAACCATATAAAATTATATTTTTTGTGATACTGGAAAAATATATACTGAAATAAAACTACTGAATGAAAACTTTATGACTGTGGTTGTACAATATATGACTCACTAATACACTGCAAACGCCCTTAGAGTGGGGCTTCCAGAGAGAGAGAGAGAGAGAGAGAGAGAGAGAGAGAGAGAGAGAGAGAGAGAGAGAGAGAGAGAGAGAGAGAGAGAGAGAGAGAGAGAGAGAGAGAGAGAGAGAGAGAGAGAGAGAGAGAGAGAGAGAGAGAGAGAGAGAGAGAGAGAGAGAATTTGTATTCTGTCAAAGTTGTAATATTACTTCAGCCACTCTTGAGAGGAGACTCCAGGTAAAAATAGACTTGTGGGTGTAGGTATGTTCAAGTTTAAAAAGTTCTTGCCTCATTAATGTATTGTTTATTTTTTTCAGCATTTAACTGACAAATTATCCTTTCAAATAATTAATTGATGAGTTACATAATTGTCCATTTAGAATTGTTGAATGGACTGAGTCAAGTTTGGTGCACTTTATATATTTCAAAACATGTTTTTTTTTATTTTAATGATGCATATAAATAATTTAAATGTTAATTTAATGGAATATTTCTATTTTTTCATTACCTCACCCTTGTTTTGACAAAAACGGGACCTTGCTGGATAATATCATGGAGAAACTATTTGTTCACAGTACATGGCTCAGTGAGGATCTGTGTACCAAAGGAGGAGATACTCAGAAATCTTTCTGCAGATTGTTACAACCCAGACTGGAAGTGGTGGGCTGTAATAAGAAAGGAGACCAAACAGAGAAGTGGGGGTTCAACAACTGATTTATTTAACCAAAGTAAGGATTTACTAAAGCAAGTTAGTGAACAGAAAATGGCCATCTCAAGGTTTTACTCGGATGTCCCTCAGCAGGGTGCAGCACTGTTGAAGGTCATCTGAATGAAAGCTTGATATGCAGCTTCTTTATGAAAGTGTGTAAATATACAGTGTGGTTGCCGTACATATGTTGAGGTTCTCAGACATCAGGCTTCTTTGCCCAGGCCTTCACTAGTGGGCTATTTTAAAAGTTGGTAAGGAGAAAAACCACAGCATATAGCTGATTGTTTACAAATGCAAGGAGGGGAATAACAATCAAAAAGCTTGTGTTCTTGGACCAGATGAATGGAGCGCTCCACATGCACTCAGAGATGTTATGGCTTCTGTTTCTATAACTTCACATGCAGACATTTGAGGTTTGCCAGAAAGAAAAGCTGGCCTGTACACTTTGCAGGGCACAATGTCATCAATGAAGAAACCCCTGTCTACCATGATGACCATCTCTAGTTGTAGCATTTTCAACACACCAGATTCCCAGGTTGGTCGCTGATAGTTCCAGCATACAGTGCTGAGACAAAGGTCACTGGCCTATGTGGCACAATCCAAATGAGCCTCTTCAAAGTGCAGTTGAACTTGAGGAACATATATGACCCTGGAAGAGAGGGGAATATGACCATTGACACCTCAGATCAGTGCAGTCAAGAATTACTGGTGTTTGGGTAGTCCTGAACGTGTTGTGATGCCCCCACCGTCTCACTGGGTTTTCATTTGTGTTTAATTGTGTTTTTCTTCTGTTGTAGGCAGCTCGTTAAGCAGCCTTGGAGGCACCTGGGTTCAGGGTGTGGTGCTGCCTACAAAGCCTACTGTTTTTCTGCTTTCACTGGGTCTCTCCTGTGTGGTGGAGAGTCCTCACTGGCCATTTTCTGTTCACTAACTTGCTTTAGTAAATCCTTACTTTTGTTAAATAAATCAGTTGTTGAACCCCCCACTCCTCTGTTTGGTCTCCTTTCTTATTACAGCCCACCACTTCCAGTCTGGGTTGTAACAGATTTCTGAGTATCTCCTCCTTTGGTACACAGATCCTCACTGAGCCAAGTACTGTGAACAAATAGTTTCTCCATGATATTATCCAGCAAGGTCCCGTTTTTGTCAAAACAAGGGTGAGGTAATGAAAAAATAGAAATATTTCATTAAATTACCATTTAAATTATTTATATGCATCATTAAAATAAAAAAACATGTTTTGAAATATATAAAGTGCACCAAACTTGACTCAGTCCATTCAACAATTCTAAATGGACAATTATGTAACTCATCAATTAATTATTTGAAAGGATAATTTGTCAATTAAATGCTGAAAAAAATAAACAATACATTAATGAGGCAAGAACTTTTTAAACTTGAACATACCTACACCCACAAGTCTATTTTTACCTGGAGTTTCCTCTCAAGAGGGGCTGAAGTAATATTACAACTTTGACAGAATACAAATTCTCTCTCTCTCTCTCTCTCTCTCTCTCTCTCTCTCTCTCTCTCTCTCTCTCTCTCTCTCTCTCTCTCTCTCTCTCTCTCTCTCTCTCTCTCTCTCTCTCTCTCTCTCTCTCTCTCTCTCTCTCTCTCTGGAAGCCCCACTCTAAGGGCGTTTGCAGTGTATTAGTGAGTCATATATTGTACAACCACAGTCATAAAGTTTTCAATCAGTAGTTTTATTTCAGTATGTATTTTCCCAGTATCACAAAAAATATAATTTTATATGGTTAAAACCATCTAGTTTATGTGCACTTTTTAAAACACTGTCCAGCAAACATTCGGATGTTTAATGACAGTTGAACGGTCACAACTGTAAAATAATATCACAGGAATTAGGAAAAATTAATATGACATCTACTCTATGTTCCTTGCCCGGACTCAAATCTGGATCCTCCAGGGAGAGAGTCACCCGCTCTCCCAGCTGAGCTATGACAGCAACTACTGAATATCAGATTTTTTTATATAGATAGGTAGAGGGTAAAGTGCGGGGTAAACTAACCAATCAGAGGACAGAGAAGATCTGCCACAGGCCACGCCTCCAGAGTGCCAAAACCCCTTCACAGCCGAGCGCGCAGAGAGGCTGCCGAGCGCGCAGAGAGGCTGCCGCGCGCGCACGTTTTCCTCTGCCCTGTGCTCGTTGGCAACGCGCGCACGCAGGTTTGTCACTTGTGCACGTCCTTGTGCGCTCACAGACACAGTTTTATGAGGCCAGAACAGTCTCAATAAGAATTAAGTCACACAACGTTTTCCACAAATGCACACGTTCATTCGGAAATCCACATTCTGTGTTTCACAAATATAATTCGGAGGAACACAAATGCACACGCACATTCGGAAATTCACACTCTTTGACTCATAAATATAATGTGAAAAAATAAGTCACGCAACATTTTACACAAATGCACACGCTAATTCTGAAGTTCAAACTCTGTGGTTCACAAATATAATTTGTAAGAACACTTGTAATATAAACTCAGATCATACGAATTGCTGAATGTGCATTTACGAACAGCTTCTCATTTGTGAACCTTTCTGCGTTTGTGAGTGAAATCTGCGTGGTGCATTCACGGACAGCTTCTCATTTGTGAACCTTCCTGCATTCGTGAGAGAAATCGGTGTGCTGAATTTTGAGACTCTCCTAACGTCGCAGGTCAACAAACGTCACCATTGGCAAATGAACCTGTCAATCAAATATATGCTTCTGCCAGGGCTGTTCGCTTTCAGCCAATCATATGGCTCTGCTGTGCGCATGCGCATTGCAGTTCACACGGCAGAGCGGGATAGACCGGTCACAATCTGTGAGTAATAGTTTTATCTTATTCCCTCGTTGTAATTTATGCAATGTTATAGAATTATGAGTAGAAGTATTCTTCATGGTCAAGTAAAATGTTTTATGTTAAATTCAGTCCAGACGTTACGTGAAGTCTGGTCCATTCTTCATCTAGTTTAACATCAAGCTAAACTCAAGTGAACATTTGTTTAGTTAGCGTGTCTAGGTACCATTTTTTTAGGCCACGGTTGTCAAACTCAAGCCCTTGGTCTATTTTTATTTGCCCCCCGAAATCAAATATCAAATATATAATATTAAACTGGCCCGCCGGGCGATTTTGCTGATAAGACTACTAATCCCATAGTGCTTTGCGGCGTTAGCGCGCGAGACGAAGCAAGCCCTCTTTTATGTTTACGATCATTAGCATCCAGTCAGCGTGTGCGGCGTTACCCTCAGTCTTAAACAACTGAATATACTCCTCTAAGCGCCCAGTTTACTCAGCGAGTTTCCGACTTTGAACGCCTAGAAAGAAGGTATCTGGCTGGAACAAGTGACCATCAGAGTGGAGCGAACTGAGCTTGAAACAGTTAATTGTCATGCACTTTTTCTGCTCCAAAGCATGAACGTTAATAACTGAGATATTTTCATAGAAGATAATTGCTATTTTTGGTTTTCACAGATCTTAACTTATTTAATTATCCAACATGTTATTGTATGGCTGTTGTACCTTTCATTTGGTAATTGATTGTTTTGGCCCCTATAAAAATGTGTCATATGAGAGTGTTTGTGCTCGAATTACATAGATCATGTACCTGAAGGTAGCTGACAACAACCGGGCAGACACCCACCTTGCCTTCTTCAGTGAAGCTGTGAATGAGCATGGCTTTCCTCTGAGGTATTCATGTTATTCCCAACTTTACCCTCTGTTACCCTGTTACAAATCTGCTTTTGCCTAAAGTGTGTTATTGACCAAAAATAACATGCCATTTGAGGTCATATAGTAAAATCTATTGGGGGGGGGGGGGGGGGGGGGGTGAACATTTCCCTCTTTCAAAAAAAATTTCCCCAGCAGAGGGTTAATAATGCCACATTGTTTATTGTTTACTCACTTAGTAGCAAGGTACATAAGGACATTTCTGTGAGACTCAAATTGATGTAGATTGTTATAGATGTGCATTAAAAATGTTTGAAGCAAGATTCTAATGTTTTTTTTTTTTCATGGTGAGAGGAGATCATGGCGGAGAAAATGTAGGTGTTGCAGAATTAATGTTCTCAGTTCGTGGAACTGACACCAACAGCTTCATTGCAGGAAAAAGTGTACACAATCAACGGTGAGTTTAACCTAATTTGGAAGCTTTGTGTCTGTGCGCGCATGCCTGTGCCTGTTGACCTGCCCAGGGTGTACCCTTCGTCTCACACTTTGACTGCTAGAGATAGGCACCAGTCCTCCTGCAACCATTCAAGACATAACTCAAGTTGAAAACAGATGTATGGACATGTTAATGTGTGTGTATATTATAATTTTCTTTTATTTAATCCCCCTCCAAATCCAGGATCGAGCACCTCTGGCGTGATGTCTTCATGAGTGTTACTGGTTTATATTACAACATCCTGCACTCTCTGGAAGACCAAGACTTGCTCGACATCAGTAACATCCTTCACCTGTTTTGTTGCCACTATATTGTCTCGCATCCAGGCCAGCCTGGATGTCTTTAGAGATGCGTGGGACAACCATCCAATCAGGACAGAGGAAAACATGACACCAAATCAGCTGTGGCATCTGGGCCAGGCTCTGAATCCTGTTTCTGATCCAGGGGCAAATGTATGTTCTGTTAAAATGACTGATCACATGTCAAGTTGATCCTTAACTATAAATCAAATGTTCAACACTTTGATAATCTACCTCTGCACTATGCTTCTTGGATTCAAGACAAAATGGCTATTGAAATTACGGTTCTGTTTGTGTGCACCTCTACTGAAGTGGACACTGTCAACTATAATGTCATGACATTACAAAGTCATGACACATCTTCAAGTTCAAAATGCAAGGCATTAGACCTTCCAGATGTGATATTCTCACTGCTATTTTAACATAAAAGTAGCCTATTAATTAAAAAAATAATAATTTATGAAATAATGGAGATGCTAGGTTCTGCCTGACATCATTGATGTTAAGTAATTGTTAAAAGGTCATGATAGGGCTTTATTAAATGTGTTTTCTTGAGATTCATTATGCACAATGCTCATACACACTTTCTTTTTCCAGGGTATACCGATACCAGAGATTGAATGGGAGGAGAATGGATACATGACTGAACCTCATCCTGGGATCAGTGTCCCTGTACTGGACAGTCCTCTTTCAGATCATGAAATGTTGGAACTGCAGGACAACATAATCCGTTGCAACATTCAGACTCTTGGGAGTAGACACATATCTTCACACTGTCCAGTATGTTGAGAACTTACTTGAGGCTAGATGATTACATGTGTGAAGAAGGAAGGAGAGAGAAGGTAGGGAGTTAGGAAGAAAGAAAACAATTAATGAGACAGGAAGGAAGGAAGTTAAAAAGTGAAGGAGTGGTCCATTTTAAGGTTAATGTACTGTATATTGTTATTCAAGGGATTTGCCGTCGTAACAATGAAATGCTAAAGGATAGACCCCAAAATAGATTTCTAAATTCATTTATAGTTGTGTATTTCCCTTAAAGGCTTTATCAGCCTGATTTATTTTAGACCAGGAATGTATTTGAAAAGGCTGCTGTCCACTTCATCTATGCTACAGTTCTTCAAAATGTAGATGTTCTATCATTGCTAGTGTTGGTTTAGTAACATACATCTTCCTGTGTATCCAGCTCTAATAAAAACATTTAAAGGTGAAGCACCTAATTATCAGGAGATCCATCTCTTTTTACATGTTATTGTTTGAATTTTGTCTCGTTTCATAACTTTTGCTCAACATTTAAGGGGAACTGTGTTACCCTGCGATCATCTTCATTACACTTGAAAACTTGTACTATACCTCCGTCCGTCTACTTATTAAATGGAATAACATGACAAGATTCTGTCTACAGTTTTTTTGATCAAGGGATGATTAGGTGTTGTGAGAATATTCTCTATGCTACTGAGTCTGTGTTAAATTGCAACTGGACACACATACCCACACACAGTTTGTTCATTTGTTCTCAGAATGAGAATAATGTCTTTTACAATTAAAAAGTTTCTTGATGTCACTGAAGGCTGTGTTAGAAATATATGCAGCTCATTAAAAGGAAAAGTAACTGATGTAACCAAAAGCCTGAACACAGGAGAATATAGACACCTGCCAAGATAAAGAGCTGGAGCTTTTGCTCCTTTTCAGAGTCACTCCCATGGAATAGGCCTGATGATTTACTAGCTTCTCTTACCTTCTCTGCAGACAATGTTTAATATGAGCTTCAAGAGGTCTCTGCCCCTAACGGGGTTTGCTTTCACTTAGTAAAAATGCATAATTTTTCTGAATAAGATTATTAAGAGGCCACCCATAGGGTGGAGCGTTGGTAATGTAATGTAACCGGTTAGATTTGTGTCCGACTTGACGCCGACTTGCTCTGACATCATGCATACGTAGGCAACGATAACCACTTGAGATCAAGGCGGCCGCAGATTTTGGAGCAAGGCGCTGCAGCTGCTCTCCCTCGGCTGCAAAACCTAGAGGATGACGGGAAACGCCTGGCTCTCACCTGATCTAAGATCTGATTGGTTCATATTTTGATCCAAACATCCGGTGGTAGAACATGAAATGTTAGTTGTTCACATGTATTCTGTAAATCATGTAACGTTAATTATGACAACTATATAGGCCATAAAGAAATGTGTTTTGTGTTCTTTTGTCATGTTTCCTATGAGCACACTAAACCTACAGCTGATAACCTTTACTTATTATTACAGTCAAGTTTTCATATACAATATATGATATCCACAAGCACGTGAGGATGTGTTTCAGCTGCTAACAGGCACCAGAATTAAAATTGAAAATTAAACAAGTGTGAACGCTAACGCGATATCTTCATCCACCGTCACCCCCGAGCTACACATGCAGGAAATTGTGTCTGACTTATGCGCACAGCAGATCTGTTCGGCAGGGGCGGATTTAGCAATTTGGGGGCCCAAGGCGAACACAGACATGGGGCCTCTTACACTAAATTTTCGACAATCTTACCTTTAACTGGATTTGCGAAAATCTACCCTCTTCTGACACGATTTATTTTCACTTTTTATTAGTCCTCCTCTTTTTTCCTGTTTTTCTCTCCCTTTGAGTGCTTTCTTCTTCCTGTCAGTGCTCCTGCTTTTGCCTTTGTTATTTTATTTCTATTTTCCATTTTGGTTTATGTTTTCCTCCCTTTAAACATTTTCCATTGTCTTTCCTTTCTGCCTCCTTTTGATGTTTACATCGAGAAACGACGTCACTTTCAGAAGTGAAAATAAAAGCTTTTATGAAGCATGCTGCTTCTTTCTCTTATTGGAGCCACTAGGATAACTCCATTTCATGCTTCATGTTTTACTATTGCTTTGAGTTTGTTACGAACGCTCCCACCTCTCTTATTCTTCTTATTTGTGGTCTTATGGCACTTGGCAAACAACAATTTGGTGCATTACAGCCACCAACTGGATTGGAGTGGAATGACTACCAATCACTTCCTGTTTGTGCATCGCCTTCTTAATAACTCTCTTATGACCATAATTATAACAGGGCCGCCTGGTATGTTTTTAATCTTATGGCTGTAAAATTGTAATAAAAAGTACAAAGTGTGTGTAACTCTCTCCTTTTTGAGAACAACCTCAGCTTTCAGTGTATGGTTTGTATTTAGAATTTATTTCTAATGAAGCCTTTAAAAATCTGCTTCAAAGTGAAAAAAGCAAAAAACGGATTTGATTTTTTTACATTTCTTACTGAACAGGAACTTCAAAATTACTGGGCAAACAATTTAAACTTTGAACTGAAATGCATCTATTCTTTAAAAAGTTTGAACCTTGGTATAATTTTTAGCTGATTTTAAGACCATTTAGTATTGTTAACTTTCAGACGTTTTTATTTGATGTGGTAGGCCTTGAAGCAGTTTCTCTCCAGCTGCAGGCAGAGTCACACCTCACACTGGGGTTCTTCTCTGGCACACCGTGCACTGCTATACCAGAAACTTTTGTTTTAGCAAAAATAATTATTTATTGTAAAAGGATAAATAATGCTGGAATGATGCTGAATCTTACAATTATCAAATAGTTGAGGGTTGTTCAAATAAAAAAATAAAAAATAAAGACTGAACAAACGTTCATATCCTGGTTCACTGGAGATCTGTCCTTCTTCGTGGTCACTGTCTTCAGATATAAGCCTTCTGGGACACCTAATAGATCGTGTTGATTTTCTTTGAGGTATTTCCATAATTTCATGCTGGTTTTTATGCTAATTAGCTTCCCCGTTCCGTTATCCACTTCCACCGCGCTGTGCTCCGTTTCAATTAGGCTGTACAGCAGGATTTCCCCTCGTAGCGATATTTTCCATAACTCTGATTGCTTCATGCTATAGATCGTTGGAAAGCTGCTTTTATGTACTTTTAGGAACCGTTGGAATTATTTGAATCTGATCAGCCGTTCAAAAGTTATAAAATGGAGCATTTTGGATGACAAACTCAGCACGTCTCTGAATCTGTGTTGTGATTCGTTGCGCTCAAGACAGGGAATCCCGGTGGCTACCGTAATGTATTGTATATGCACGGAAAGCCCCATTTTTAATCTTTTCAGCACTTTTGGAATTTTAATGATATCTTCAAGGGTTCAGGAATTATGGTAATGAGAAGTGCGCATGTCCAATCCCGTCTGCGGCCACAGGTTGGTAATAAGAATATTGTGGCATTAACAGAGGGGTGCCGGCAGTCAGGGCTAGGAGGCCCCCCACCACTAGGGGGCCCCAGGCGGCCGCCTACCTATGCCTAATGGTAAAACTGCCTCTGCTGTTCGGTAACATAAGGAGCCATATGATTGGCTGAAAGCGAACAGCCCTGGCAGAAGCATATATTTGATTGACAGATTCATTAGCCAATGGTGACGTTTGTTGACCTGTGACGCTAGGACAGTCTCAAAATTCAGCACACCGATTTCTCTCACGAATGCAGGAAGGTTCACAAATGAGAAGCTGTCCGTGAATGCACCACACAGATTTCACTCACAAACGCAGAAAGGTTCACAAATGAGAAGCTGTTCGTAAATGCACGTTCAGCAATTCGTATGATCTGAGTTTGTATTACAAGTGTTCTTACAAATTATATTTGTGAACCACAGAGTGTGAACTTCAGAATTAGCGTGTGCATTTGTGTAAAATGTTGCGTGACTTATTTTTTCACATTATATTTATGAGTCAAAGAGTGTGAATTTCCGAATGTGCGTGTGCATTTGTGTTCCTCCGAATTATATTTGTGAAACACAGAATGTGGATTTCCGAATGAACGTGTGCATTTGTGGAAAACGTTGTGTGACTTAATTCTTATTGAGACTGTTCTGGCCTCATACAGTTTGCTCCCTCTCAGTGCACAAATGACCTCTCGCCATGTATATTTTCACTCGCGAGTCCCGTTCACACGCGCGATGTGGACCCAATCCGCGTGCACGGGTTGTGGCACGCCTCTGACGCCATATGTTACCCTCATTTTAAAGTTATTCATTACATTACAATATTACTGATTTTAAAATGTAAGGCATTACACTACTTTTGTATTACTTTAAGTTACTTTCCCCAAAAAAACTTCAACATGAATCTGGTCATGTGACGCTCAGTGAGCTCATGACATATATGTGGAAGGTGATGTGGTGTCTGAGCTAGGATTTCTGTTAAAAACAGATATAATAACAGTGCTTTAAAATGATTGTTTATTCAATAAAAGCAACAACAATCTGTACTCTCAGCGCGCTGCCATCTTATGGGCCAACTGAGCAGGGAGTGAGGTGGTGGGGGCTCCAAGCCTATATTTGCCTTGGTCCCCAAATGCCTTGATACGGCCCTGGATGTGGGACTGACTTCTGGGGTGATCTGATTCTATCACTAGTATAAATATTAAATGCTTATATGTTATTGCTTTTCACTGGTAAAAATGTGTATTAGGGATACATCTACCTACTTTTTTTCTTTTCAAGCACTTTGTTTTGTTTTCTTGATTTTATGTGAATAATTTCCTGCTCTTTCTCTCTCTAACCTTCCTGCATGCTGCATGTTTTCTCCGTCTTCCAGAAAAACTCTTTCCTAAATTTCCAAATTTCCACCTAATCAGCCAAAGGGATCTACCGAATGCAAAAACAGTTTAATAAGCACTGCGCTCCAGCAGTAATGGGTAGAAATCACCGGGGCAGAGATTATGAACTCAGCTGAGACAAAGCACGCCAGAAAAGTGCACAAAGTACCAGAGAATATGGGCTGATATGAAGGATCGCAAGTGAATTATTTTGTTTTGGTGGAACGATTTTATGAATGTTACAAAGTGAACGCGGTACAAAAGTAAATAATTACATTTGTACCGCATTACTTTCAACATTGTTGACCAAATTGGTGAACATGGCAGCAGAGAGGAGGTAAAGGTCAGTTTCTAATAGCTAAGTCTAACTTTTGCACATATCGCTCTCAATGAGTCTCAAGCTGTGCTACGTCTTCCAATAAGTGAACTGGGCTTGAACTAGTGAAAGTCATGGCTAAGCTGGCAAAAACAACAATCTCATTTGCCACTTTTTTCCCTCGGTTAAATGCTCCCATCACTCACTATTTACGTCTGCCATGGTACACACACATGATCAGGTGACGTAAATGTAAACGGTCAATAGCACTAATGTAGTCCAGCTGTATACCAGGCATCTGGAGCCAAATCTGATGATGCTTCCTTGAGGTGTTTAAAACTTCCTCTGTTTGTAAAGTTTGGGTTTGGTGTAATCTCTGTTAATAGCACGGCTAAGAGGCAGGAGAGACCTTAAGATAAGCCCGAGTGACAATTACTGGAATGACACATCTTGCCACGTAAGACCTTCAAACAGCCTATAATGAGTC